GGGGGACAGTCTATTAGTAGAAACCTTGTGTGACACACTGTGGTGAACTAGAACATAAATAACAGGCCTAGAACCCTGTGCCCTCTCCCAGTTGGTGCTACAGGTCCATTGCTGATGATGGGTCGCCAGCGTTCTTGCACATAGCAGCTACTGATTTGAGATTTTTCTTGTAAGGGCTAAGTTTTTAAATTGAATTGTAAACTTGGTCACACATATTCTGCTTGTCCATATTTTTGCACAAGCAGAACCTGCACTAAGCAGGTAACTAAGTGTTACTATGTGGTGCTGGTAGGTAAAATAAGAAGTTCTGGTGCCCATTTGCAAATTTGGCCATAAAAGCTTAATAGAGATTTAACTCATCTTGGTTAGATTTTAAAAACAATAGCAGAAACGTGACAATGTAAAAACCAAAGCTAGCAGACAATTTGACTCTCAAAATGATATTTTAAGCATTTACTTTTATCCATGTGTTTCCATGCTTAACTGCCATTTTTAAAAACACTTAGTAAACTACAATGCCAAAAGCTTTAGAAATTGAGAATTTAGCTAAATGGAAGTGAAAAGGAACAATCACTGAGGGTGAGTAAGCACAAAAGGAATCATGCCATATTGATTTAAATTACTCCTCTCCCTTTCCCCCAGATGCAGCATTCTAGCCCTGTGTAGAAAATGTCAATTATACAAATGTTTAAAATCATTTTTTTTTGTTCCACACAAATGGCAATGCTGACTTGGCCTCAAACTAACTTTTATTATTGTCATGAGGCATGAGGTGAATTCAGCTGTCCAAGAGTAAAAACTGTAATTCACTATCACTTTGCCCTTCTGAATTATAACTTTCAATAAAACAACTGAGGTTATGTGTACCAGAAGACTCTACTAAGCTGCAATCTCTGTGGAAAGAGAACCATGATAGGACCACATGTGGGGCAGGGATGAAGCAAGCAACTCTGTGAAACCTCCAGAAATAACAGGAACATGGTGTTAACTCACTCCACATAATGTGATAATGGTAGGTTAAAGGAAGCAACTGGAATATATGGGAAGGCTAATATTATCCCCTTTGATTGATAGTGTCTGCTTGTTATTTGTTACTTAGATATACAGTCTGGAGATTGTGTTGGATCCCCATCTACTGTTGGACAATAACATTACTGCAATGTCCAGGCATGCATTTTACTCATTTGCTTTCTCTTGGATACAGATCATGCTATGGTAATACATGTCCTGGTTGCCTCGTGCTCCCTATGAATTATTACTCTGCACTCTATGTGGTCTGCATCTTATCTGGAAAATTAAGCAGGTGCAGAATGCAGCAGCTCGTACATTAAGTGATAACTCTTCGAGACAGCATATATTATCAGTGCTCCATGACATATATTGGCTGTCAATTAGTTTCTGGGTAGAGTTTATGGTGTTTGTTTTACACATAAACATCTCAATTCTATAGGATATACCTACTTGAGAGACTACCTCTTCTTATGGCAATATGTCACAGCTGGATTCAATACAGGACTTCAAGCTTGATTTGTTTCATTATAAAAAGATGGGAGCTGCTGATAAAACATTGTCTGTGAGGGTTCCTTTCCCAAGGTCTGAAATTGCTCAAATTTGTTGCGAGGGCATACTACAAAGCCTGTTTGAATGGCAATTGGTGGAGGGCTGATGCAGATGAGAACAAGATTTGTTTGGTTGAAAAGCATGGTGCAGGTTTAACTGTGTACTGGTCAAGGGTCTGAGAAAGAAGTGCTTCATGTTCTGGTGGAATTCTTCTTTGTGACTCCAATGTTCTTTATACTCTCATATTATATATATATATATATATATAGTTTTTTTTCCCTGAAGGATGACAGAATGTATCTAGCAAGTGACAGAATTAATATATAGTCACACACTTACATACACATGCTTTTGGTTGAGTTTCCCTTTTGTATGGAGTTAGCACAAAAACCAATTCTAAAGTTATTAAATAAAAAAGGAGAGTTTGTAAACTCTACCTCCAGACTGAAGCCTCACCATGTTTTTCTTCTATATGCTTGCTAATATTAGGAATACAACCTTACAATGTCCACTTTCCACATGTGCACTCTTCTTCTCACTTAGAGCCATTTCACCCCCTATTTCATGACACATTCCTCTTCCTGATGCCAAATTCCAGCCAAGTGATGCTCAGGGTCCTCCAGGCAATTTCAGCCTCTACTTACCAAGACATTTGTCTCCACTCATGCCATAAAACTTGTGGACACTAGTTCACTCCCACATCTATGAAATGACCACATCTTCAGGTCCTTCCTCACTATCAAGAGGCATCCCATCAAAGATCTCACTGCTCTGGGAAAAACTTAGCCTCTGGTACTCACTTGCATTTCCATCTTCCTCTGCCGGTGCTCAGAGTGTAAGTGGAATGAGAACACTAGTGATCACTGAACATAAAAAGGAATGCTAGCTAGACCTTGAGGCAGCACTCCACACGGGGGCATAACAAGTTGGTTGGGGGGAAGTCAAGAATGCATTCATTCACGCATGCCTGCTAGCCTCTGGCAGCAACAGTTGTTACGAGTTCACAGTACCTTTCACCAGCCTTTGTATACATCTATTACATTCTGCTCCCCTTCTGTTTCCTAAAGCATTCTGCTTACATGTGGCACTACGCAAGTGGTACACAGCACCTCTGCTTATCTACTAAAACTCTGCTCGTGTACCCAACATTCTTACAGAAGTGCAACCACTACTTGGCTCCTTGTACTTATTTGTGACACACAATGTCTATATTTACCTAAAATTAACTGCCTTTTATTTTTAAAATTTACTGTGTCAGAATAATCTTTTTGAGTGTAACCTCGGAAACAAACACAGTCGCGCTCTATGAAATCCAGCTATTCTACAGGTAAAATACACAGTGGTAAAATTTACAATTAATCAGCAATGACAAAGAAGTCTTTAAATGTTTGTCTATGTTGCAATAGCTAACATTGCTGATGTTGTAAGGCTGGCTGATAGTTTGTCTTAGCTATTGGATGTTGAAAACACAAATGCTTATTTATGCATTTCTCTCCTAACTTCTGGTATTTTATAAAACAGTTATCAGAACAACAGTCAAACTGATTAAAGCAAGAAAGAAGATAACTTGGCATATTTCCCTGTGTACAATTATATAGAAATATGAATACATGGAAATTCCTACATGTGGAAAGTCTCTAACAATGAGAGGATTTATATAAATCACCATGGTTGGTGGTATAATCACTTGAGAGAATGAACCTGAAAAGCTTATTATACTGAATACCCAGATGGCAAACAACAGTTGTCGCTGTACTAAGAATTACATCTCTGTAATCAATAATAGGAAGGAACAGTTGGACAACTTGTTTCCTATTATGTTCATTTAGGCAATGCCTAGATCAATAAAGCACATTAAGCCTCATACCAACTGTAGATAATATATGTTCAACATGCCTATCATATGTCAGGGATGGATACTGCTGTACTCAAACATATAACCTACTCTAAACAAACATTAAATAGCAGAAATGGTTTAAATATCAGGTGGGCATAGGCAACTGGTATCTGTAAGGGGACAGATGTATGGAGGGCCACTTTTAGGAACAGAAAGGCAGTCTGAGAGAGCACTCCTTTTAGCAATCAAATTTTGGCAAGGGCATAGTGGGACAGTGCACCTCCTGAGTGTTACCATGAGTCACCTATGCAGGTGGATATTTTTATAATGGGAGTGGAGATGAAATTATTATTTTAGTTTAAATAGAGTTCAAAGGCAACTTCTTTTATAAAAAGTCAGCTGCTACCATAATTCAAGTTAGCTTTAGAATCTGTGAAGGATGGTCAATTCTTACAGGAAAAAGAAAAAGCATTAAAGCACAATAAACAACAAGGCTTATATATTCACTAGATAATTTTGTGGCTATAGTAAGCTGTTCACAAACACTAAATATTGTTCTTACATGTCCCTCAGGCTAAAATAGCAATTATTTATAATAACTTTCAGTATATATACTTTTGAAACTTTTCAGTAAACAATAAGTAAAGCCAATCAAACTAAGTTTCTGAATGGCTCGTTGAACTATCAAATGAATGTTTAAGTTTATGTTTAAACAAACTTAATAAAAAAATGCCCATAAAATATTTTAGAAACAAAACACTGCAATGGCACACTGACTTTCTTTCCAGCTTTCAGAGTGGCAGAATAAGAGTGAATGTGAAGTTCTTCCTCTATCAGAAAGGAAAATGGAAGTGACAGTGGAAAGCATTGCTTTTGGTTATTTAACTTTGCAGTTTGAAAGCCATCTCATGGGAAGCAACTCAACTCTCTTAGTAAGCTCTCATGAAGTATATCTATCTATTTTTCAAAAGGGCATGCGACATCAAACTGAGAAAACCTGTAGGCTGTTTTGTTCCTAGTTTTATTATTTATTACATACATATCTACAGTAAACTGCACAGAGTGTTCAGATAAGTAATTTGTATATACTGGAGATGAATTTCTGTACTTTTAAAGTTCATGAAATATGCTGAAAATTCATGTCTGTTAGCTACAAATACAGTATGAGCTGCAGCAGAGCAAGGTTCTTTATTCTACCATACCAATGTCTTTCAAAAACAATTTACAGGGAGCCCATGGTGCAATAGGTTAGGTCTGTCCTCAACACTATTTAATTTTTGGTCTCTGTTAAGACATACAGACACAGTGCCATTTAGTGCCAATTGCTATGGGGTTTTTTTAGCAGATGCTCACCTGTTCAAACCCGTCCAAATTATTTCACGCTAATCACTGGATTGACATCGGGCACCAATACCTTACAGTACCTACCAGGGAGAGCCAGATTCAAATCATAAGGAGAGATTTTTTTTCTCAATATCCCAATTGGTTTACAATGAAGATGTTTAAACTATCTTTCTAAGACATTGAAATACAAACCATTTATTGGCAAAAAATCATTCTTATTTTCAGCAAAACAAAATAGCGGAGAATGAAACAATCCTACCTATTCCAATAAAGACTGCTGTGTAACCATCTTCCTTCAAGGTACTGAGTGTCATTCCTTCTATTCCAAGGCCTTTCCCACAAACTATCTAAAATAAAACATTACAAATATTTATTAAGTAATTTGAAATTGATAATTAAAATGGTTTAACGTCTATCATATTCCTCTTATTGGCATCTCAAAAAGTTTCATAATGATCTATCAAATATAAAAATATCTTTTTCAAGCTAGACTTACAGGGCCAAATACTTAGGTTTGAACAAACTAATTTTAGTGTATGACTCAACGTTAGGTATGGAGCATAAAAAAGGCATAAAGTCAACTTTGTATTTCCTGATAGTCGGGGTTACTTTGATTCCTGGAATAGCAGCAGTCAACAAACAAACAGAAAAAGAAAACAAAAAACTGTGTATGGAACACAGCAGCACAGCAAAACAGTAGTTTTAAATGGTTGTACTCTTGAACCTCTTAAAACTGGCAACCCTGGGAAACAGAGTATGTTGGATAGAGGAATTTTTGCAGGTCATGGGAGAAAACTGGGTTGGGGTCTAAGAGAGAAGGAGGGTGCGTGAGGGGGATGGGAGTGTAGGATCTAAGTGGGGTGGAGGTGGGTTCTTACCTGATGCCCCATTCGCAGGGGCTGACATGGATCTGCACCACCTGCCACTCCCAGGCACTGAACCCCCACCACTACTCTTCTCTGCGCTACCGTTACCCTGGCTTGGGGAAGTGGCAGCATGCAGAGCTGCTCCCTCCTCCCCTGCCAGGCTCTGAACCATGGGTGTCTCCAGATTAGGGACACCCAGAGTATAGAGATTCAGGTGTATTTGATACCGAGTTAGTAATAAAATACCCCACATGAAACTCAATATTTTAGAAAGCTTATCTGGGAGCAAAGCACCAGTCTAGGGAATGTGTGGCAAACAAAACAATCATCCAGCCCATTAATCAGGAAAAAAGTGTTGGGGGTTACTGTGAAAAAAATCATCATGTCACCAGTCTATTGCACAGCAGTAAAATGGAGGCAAACAGGGCACTAGATTGATATTCTGACATGCTGTTAATTCTAACAAATAAGGCAATACTACAGGCAGTACTAGTCACTGTACCAAAGGAAGGGTAATAGAGCATCACTTGGTGTAGCAAAAGATCAGACAGCCCAGATTCTGCAACTGGACTTTACACCAACAAGCCCTGCTCTAGTCAATGGTGCTTTTTGTGGGCATAAGACTCAACTACAGGATCAGGACTTAAGACAATATTTTATTCCATGAATTTTTATTCTGTGGAAAGGTTAAGAGAAGTGTACTCATTCATGAAAATAGACAAGAATTCAATGGAACCAAACAGAAATTTTCTAAATTAAAAAAAAAAATGGGCTTACAGGTCAGATCAAAGGCCCAATATTATGTCTTCCAACAATGGCCAAAGCCAGGTCCCAGAGGGAATGAACAAAACAGGCAATCCCAGCTCATTCCCAGCTTCTGACAAACAGAGGCTAAGGGCCCCATCACTAACAATTCTGGGTAATAGCCATTGATAGACCAATGAATTTATCTAGCCCTTTTTTTGAACCCTGTTATAGTCTGGGCCTTCACAAAATCCTCTGACAAAGAGTTCCTTAGGTTGATTCTATGTTGTGTGAAGAAATTCTTCCCTCTATTTATTTTAAATCTGCTGCCTATTAATTTACTTTGGTTACCCACAATTCTTAAGTGATGAGAAAGAGTAAATTACACTTCCTTGTTTACTTTCTCCACACCAATCATTATTTGATAGACCTCAATCATATTTCCCTTTAGTTATCTCTTTTCTAAGCTGAGACGTCCCAGTCTTTTTAATCTCTCCTTATATGGAAGTCGTTTCATACTCCTAATAATTTTGTTGCCTTTTTCTGAACCTTTTCCAATTCCAACACTTTTTTTTTAGGGATCCCATCTGCACTCAGTGTTCAGGATGTGGGCTTACCAATGGATATACAGAGAGGCAATATGATATCTTCTGTTTCATTATCTATTGTTTTCTTCATGATTCCCAATATTCTGCTTGCAATTTTGACTGCCACTGCACATTGAATGGATGTTCTCAGAGAACTAGTCACAATGACACAAGATCTCTCTCAAGTGGAAACAGCTAATTTACAATCTCATCCTGTTACATATGTATTTGGGATTATGTTTTCATGTGTGCATTACTCTGTATTTATCACCATTGAAATTCATCTTCCATTTTGTGACCCAACCACCTGGTTTTGTGTGATCCCTTGGTAGCTCTTCATAGTCTGCTTTACAGTTAACTATTTTGAGTAGGCTTAAATATTTTGTAAATTTTGCCATCTCAGGGTATGTCTACACTTGCACCCTAGTTTGCACTAGGGATGCAAATGCAGGTATTCAAAATAGTCAATGAAGTGGGGATTTAAATATCCCGTGCTTCATTAGCATGATCTCGCCGGCGCGCTAGTTCGAATACAAAACTGTGGAGTAACATTAGTTTGAACCAAGGGGTTTGGTTCAAACTAACGCATCCCGGCGCATACTTCCTGGTTCGAATTAGCTGTGATTCAAACTAGCTAGTGTAGACATACCCTCACTGTTTACCCCTTTTTCAGATCATGTATGAATATGTTGAATAGGATGTTCCCAGTACAGACCCCTGGGGGACACCATTATTTACTTCTCTCCATTCTGAAAATTGACCATTTATTCCTATCTTTGTTTCCTATCTTTTAGCCAGTTAGGAATGGAATTAATAATTTGGGTTTGAGATTGCATTTGTTTAATCGTATTTCTTCTAAGTGATCAATAGTGCTCTGAGCCTCTCTTTTTATTGGCTGGAATGAATCAAAGTATGTAAAAAATAGGAATAAATGCAGACAAATTTATTTCACTGGTAGTAGGTTTGTGAAGAGTGATAACTAAACCAAAAAGCATTTAGGAAGCACTGCTACTTGGTAGGTCTCAATGAACTTTACAAAGGATTAGTATCGTGTTCCCCATTTTCCAACTGAGGAAACTGAGGCACAGACTGGGGAAATTATTTGTTCATGGTCACACATCAAGTCTTTAGCAAAATTATGATTAGCAACCAATCCTCCTGTTCCTGTGTGTGTCAAACTTAATTTCTTTATTCTCATACTTTCGCTCTGCTTTTCATGCCCTTCAGTGCAACAAAACTCACATTGAATCTAATGGCTAGAGTCTCTCACTACTACTATATTGTTGTCATTTAATATTTAAATATTTCCAAGTGGCCTTTCATGGCTTAGCTCTCCAGGGTTAGTTTATCTACCAGAGCTGGGAGGCATACTCCTAGCCACAGTCTATAATCAATCTTAAAGTCCCTTTATGCCACTCCAGGCATTCACCTGATCATAAAGGCATTGAAAGAGGATAAGGATCTCACTCTAGATGTTGAGATTCCCAGATAAAAGATAAAAGAATGAGTAAGGTGTAGTCTCCCAATATATTTTCTGTGTAGTCTCCTAATATGCTCCATACAAATAACTTCTATTAAAATGAGCAGGAGTTAAACATGCTGAATGTTTGTTCTATACAGCAAGCACTAAATGAACACTAAAATAACATTCCCATTACCTAAAAATAATCAAGAAATGTTGTTTGTGTAATAAAATGCACCCAATGCAAAACTATTGATTTACAAGAAGATGAATTATTGTTATTGTTTATAACAGATCATGTTACTATTTTGTTAATTTGATGCATGTAATAAGTAAAATAAACATCAATGTGAGATTGCATTACAAACCATTAAAAGAAAACTGGAGTGGAGAGAGAAGTGTCAAATAGGAATGTATTAAGTACTACCAAACATGCATGAAAACAACTTGATTAAAGAAATCAAATCATTGCAATAGCTACATTGAACCCCTAAAGCAATTTAGGAATTTGTTTCTTACAGACAATTAATCACATGCAGGCATGCCAGATGAGAACTATTGATTGCCCTTTTCCAAACTAGTGGCATTCAGACAGCAGACAGACAAATGCCCTGAGCAAGAGAAAGCATCTTCCTGCCTCTGCCTGGTATAGCTTTTAATTGTTCTGCACTAATGTGCACAACATTTTGCTGTTAATCTTTGACAGAGCTTTTGCTCCTTTTTCTTTGAGCTACACATAGGCGGATTGTAGTTTTCATTACCTTCACTCCAAGGTCCTTCATAAGCTCAACTTCAAAATTCACTGCTTCATATGGCAACCGGAATTGAGGGATTTCAGATGTACTAGAAAAAATAAAGGAGATTGTGAAATAATTGACAGCTATTAAAGAGCGAAATCCTTTCCATTTTTAAATATTAAAACACATACTGTGAAAATCTTGTGAATTTTGTGCCAGTACAAAGATGATTTGCAAGTATTTAACAGAACAGTGAAGAAACATGACTCGTCTAATGATGGAGATTCAGTACTGACAAACCAAAATAATCAACACAAAATAGGAAACAAAAAAAACTTCTTTATACTTTTTTCATAAGCGCTTTTACTTGTTAAGAAGAATTCTAAATGTTGTTTAACTTTGTTGAGTGCCACTTATTGCATCTCTCTGATAACCCAGGAACTAAAACCAGCTTGATAGAAAATCTAAAGTTTCACTGGAGCTTCTCAGAGAACCACAACTACATTCCTATTCCTTCTACGGTAACCACAACTAAAGAGAATTATTTTTGTTTTTTATAAAGGTAGAAAATATCAATGTCACAACAGATTGTACCCATCAATAGCTAATCCTTCTCTATATAATCACATTCTACATTGAATGTGCCTACTTAAAAAAGAGAGAAATTTCTAGCCACAAAATGGTGAAGTTAGCCAATAATTAATAGTCAAACTTCCATTTCTTAAGTTGGATGTGTAAATTATGTTTGCTTCATGACATTTTCTAGTCAATGTTAGCCATACTTCACCGTCCTTTTATAGTCTACAAGTTCCCTTGCATTCTGCTTCAGTGTACAAGTCAGTAATTTGAAATAGGATCATATGTGTGTGCATATGGATGAAGTCTTCTCCAGCATCTCAATAACACAGATTTATTGCCGGGGGATATTAATATATAGGGCCAGATCCTCAGTAGTATAAATTCATATTGACTTTGATGGGACTACCCCAATTTAGATCAGCTAGCAATCTGGCCATTAAGACTAATGAAGGCCATCAGACATCCTGTTTTACTTCGTTTCACTCTATAAAGGCAAAATAACAAAACATACAGAAGCTTCTGGAAATCTAATTTCTTTGCCAAAATTACTGTAGCTATCATTTCCATAACAAAGTCCAGAGACAGAGAGATTTATAGTAGTTCCGTTTTACATGTTATTATCGTGCATCCCAACACCTTTCCATTTAATCCTGAAACATTGGCAGAATTTATTTATTTTCAAGCTTGTCAACCACAAATATATAGCAAAAAAGTTAATTTTACTACTTTCTTGTATGATTTCAAATACTAACCATCTTCTGTCCAGTATGTAACTAAAAGCATTCTATACTTCAAACATAATGTATGCATCATGAGTGAGAGTGCAGCTTTCAAGTCACAGTAAGAAAAAAGTGGCCAAGACAAAGGATAATAAAAAAGATATTCAGTTAAGAAATCCATTAAAATAACAACATTTTATTTCTCAACCCATAAATATATTTTTGAAGGCCTTTCATTTTCTCAGGTATAAGATAGGCTCAGTATACCACTGGCAGTATTCAGTAGCTGTCCCTATTCTTAGAATGTTTTCCTTAATTCCTTTAGAAAGGGGCATGTGAACATGTGTAAGAAAGAGAGATCAATAATGTTACACTTTGATGTTAGAAATTGGAATCATTCACTGTCTTTCTCCAAGGTAAATATTCTTCAAACTAGCTATAGTCCTGATAGGCATGAAAAGAACAACATGCTCAGAAAAAAAAGAACCTTGAAAAATACCTCTGCAACTATAAGACAATTAATTCCAAATACACAGCTAATTTGGCCTTTTTAGCCATTTTGAATTATTTACAAAGTTACTTAAAAAAATCAGGGGCAGCTGGTCACAGTTATGGATGACAGCTCTCAGTTCAACTTCCCTTCTAAATCCATGTCAAAGCAAGAGCAAAAGTAGTTCTGTTTTTATTCCAGATATGGACCTCCTATTGAATGTCCGTGGGTGTTTTGCACAAAGAATGAGAGTAAATCATGGCCATTATTTAGGGCTGCTTCTAATATTATGAATTTCCAGAATGGAAAATAGGAAAGATGATCACAAAACACATGTATATGGGGTGACCCTTGAAGTATGGCTTTTTGGAAGGGGCAATGTGACAATTAAATTGAAATTTAATTCAGTTAGAGATGTAGAAATAGGAACAAAGTTAAGTTCACATTGTTCGGATTAGGTATGCACTGATAAAAATTTCCTATAACGGAAGAAAGGGTTCCTTTAAATATATTCAAAGCTGCAGCATTGAAAATAAATTATGTGTGAATTGTAAAAAGGATAAAGTGATAATGTAGAAAACAGCCTTTTTTAAAGTAACTAAATTGACTTTCAATAAAATATTTTTGAAAACCACAACATGCTAGTTCATTAAGTGGGCAGATATGTTTTCCACAAAATCTGCAATCCCCTATGGCAACTGATGTTAGTAAAATGAGTGTATATTGTGAAGTGTCTATAACACAATCAGCTAAATTAACACTTTTGATAATTAGGAGTACAGTTTTGAACCTAAATGAAAATCATCAGTGCTATTTTTTTAAAAAACATTGCTTAACTCTTTGCACCCTCCAGGAATTAAGTACTTGACATTGAGGATCAAATTAATTATTGGTGTCAACTCCATTGACTTCAGAGGTGTTGCACCAGGGACAGATTTGGTCTTCCTTTTTTACACTTCAGTGATTTTTTTAAAATGTGTGGTAGTTAATTTGTGTGTTGACATTACATTTACCCAGTGTTCAGATTCAAAAATATACTAACACACATTTAGAGGTGCCACCAGTCTTGAAATTACAATTACAGTCATGGTGGGAGAAATTCATCCGCAGTGAAGAGGACCTGTTACGATACTTTCTGGTGGTCATGGTGTTCTAGTGCTATGGAAAGATTTTAGAGCTGCCCTGAACCCTGACTGAACAAGTGGATTCTATCCTTTTGTACACTTACTTGCAAAAATCCCATTTATTCAGACTTTGTAGAAGAATGAGGAAATCAGGTGTAAATTTCATCCTTACAGAATGATGTATCGAAGTTGTAAATATATGTTTCAATCCAACTGTAAATGATTCCTTTGTGTTTATTTTCATGTATACTTCCATAGGGAATTTTACATACCATTCTAAAAGTAAAACTTAAAAAACAACAAATAGTCTAGTAGCACCTTAAAGACTAACAAAACATGTAGATGGTATCATGAGCTTTCGTGGGCACAACGCACTAGACTATTTGTCGTTTTTTAAGTTTTTCTTGTTACAGACTAAATCGGCTACCCCCTGAAGATTCTAAATGTAGACATTCCCACCGCATGAACATAATTTAAAAGCATTTTAAAACAAATCTATTCATTATCACACATGGTAAAGCTTAAATATCTCTTTTGGATTTTGGAAAAGAGTTCTAGAATCATTACTAGATTCTGTATTTTGTAGACCAGACTAAAATTGGGTAGTAAGCAACCATCCAGTATCTCTCACAGTCACTGCACAGAAATGCTTACTCATGGCTAGCAGCAGTGAACAAAAGATTTTCTGTGTCCTGGCTTACCATTTAAATGGAAAGCGATGTGACATTAGTCTTTTTAAAATAAGCAGATATAGTGGGTCTGAGTCTTTGCACTTTCACGGAGTTGGGGTTGAGTTAAGAATTGGCCAATTTATCATATGACATTCCAAAATATGTAAAGTCTGTAGTTCTGTACTCTGTTGTTTATTAATGCACTACGTGAATAGTTACAATATTTAATGCTCATTCATTTAGTAACAAAATTCAGAAAAGGTCTATCCACTTTTTGTGCTTGCTTCCCTAGAACTTGAAAAAAAGCCTCTATAAATGTACAGCTCAAGGATTTGTATTCATAGATATTGATGTGATTGTCCAACTTCAACTGGGCACAGCACTTATGCCTTTTGTAAAGGCAGATCTCAGCTCTATTTTTTTTCACACCTCTGTGGCCAAATGAAAAAAGTTGCAGATGTGAGAAATGTGCTTCCCTTCATAACAGTCATATATTAGTCTGTTTTTTAAACAGAATTTGGTTCTTTACAGTCTTTTACTGAACTTGAATGGGAATTTCCAAACTTATGTGCAATTAAGGTAAATATTTAACGTGGATGAAGAATTGTATTTTTTTAAGTGAACCTTTAAAATGTTCCATTATCTCTCCTGAGTTTCTGATATAACCAGAATTGAACAAGCTGTATTTCACATGCTTCCCACAATCATACAAAACATTATTCACCTAGTTTTTACCTTAAGCCACCAAAGTATTCCTGTTTTTCAAATATGGTGATGTCTGAGTAACCTAATCGAGCCAAAAAAGAAGCACAACTGATACTTGCAGGCCCAGCACCAAGGAGAGCTATCTTCGCATGGTATGCTTCAGGTATGTCTTCTGAGGGAAATAAGAAAGGGCTTCTAATCTGAGGAATATTCATAGCTTTGAACACCTAAAACACAATATATTTAAGAAATTATATACTGTGTAACAATGGCAATTTAACAATGGCAATCTTAGCACTCAAACTTTATTATAAATGGCTTTAAAATACTGAGCACAATGTAATTTTCCCCTGATATTATTACAATATTTTATTTATTTCAGTCCATTAAATAGATTACCATTGTACAAACTCACACAAATATTATTCAATTGGCTCCATGTCCAGGGAAAAGGGATTTCTTACAGAAAATCTTCCATGGCTCAGCAAATAAACTCTTCCTGCCTTCCCCGATTTGATCGTCAATCCTGCATAGGTGAAAAGGTGCTCCCCTAGTTTTCGTCACTCCTTGTGAACCAGGCAGCTCAGTGAAGGATTTAGTTATCAAAAAATATTGATATCAACATATCAAATACAGCTGCAAAATGTTTTATAATATACTAGTATTCTTTCCTGGCTTCTCACAATATGCATCCTTTCATATGTAACAGCAGCATTGTGTTCTCAGTGTTATTTTCTTTACAGCTTCTTTTTTGTCTTTACTAATCTGGGATGAGATCCTCTCAGGTGGCATAGGCCATCATTACTCCACTGGCCTTAAGTAGGTCTGACATGACCAGAAAAGGAGACATTATTGGACACATTAGCAACATGTCAAACATGCTCAAACAGGCATCCCTTGTTTTTCCTTTATAATATGCAATTATAAACAGAGATCCTAGAAATCTGTAATAAGTCATCATACATAAAATAATTGTTTTGTTTCTCAGAAAATCAAATCACTTGGCCTTCAGCTTAATGTTTTATGCTTCCAGCAAAGTCATACAAAAATAGACAATGAATGGCAAACCTGAAATTACTCGGCTAGCCCGAGAAAATACAAAGTAGGGAAACCCAAGAAATGGATGTAATGTGCACAATTTAATATATCCTGCATTGATGAAAAGCTTGCACAAAGTCCCAGAGCTACTTTAGGATTGAGATTTATGGGAAACAAAATTCAGGGATGGAGAAAATCCCCTCCCCCTCCAAAATAGAACAAACAAACAAAAAAAACAGAGATGAACACCTTAAGTACCTTCTGGTGCCTCCTCCAAAACATGGTCCAGATTAGCCTTATTGTTAAAGAAAGATGTCTTTGAGATTAATGCAACAGATAAACTCAAGAGTTGTCTCTGCTACAGATATTCTATGTCAGTCTTGGGAAACTCTCACAGGCCCGGATTTCAAAGGTATTTAAATACCAAAAGTACTTATTGGTGTTTTCAAAAGTTCCCAAGGGCTTAACCTCTATTTATTTTAATGAGAGTTAGATCCTTTTGAAAATCCCAGGTGGTTCTTACTTGCTTCTTTAGATCCCGAAAGAACTTTTTAAAATGTAGGCTTCAGAGCTAAATTTTTAAAGCTGATCAGTTATTTTGGGTGTCCAAATTTGGGATTTCTAATTTGGGACAACTTAAATGGGCCTGATTTTCAGAAGTCAGGTGAGAATTTTCTGCAATTCATTTGCAAATTTAACACAATGAAACTAGAAGTGAATAAGGACTGATGGTTATCTCACTACAAAGGCAATTTTCCTTCTCTTTGTAGTCACACCTCCCCATCAACTGCATCAACTGCTGAGAGTAAGCCATGTCCACCTTATCCGAATTGGCTTTGTTAACTCTGGTCCTGTACTTCTTAATTCCCTTCTTTTGATATGCTAGTGCATGTATCTCCCAACCTCTGTGATTTCCACTTCATGCATCTGACAAAGTTGTTTTTACCACAAAGGTTTATGCCTAAATATATCTCTTAGGGTATGTCTACACTTTCACCCTCTTTCGAGAGAGGGATGCAAATGAAGACATTCAAAATCGCAAATGAAGCTGGGATTTAAATATCCCGTGCTTCATTTGTATAATCGCATTATGGTGCTATTTTGAAATAGCGCCATTTTGAAATAACAAAAGCAGTGTAGATGTGGTTATTTCGGGAGAACACCCTTCCCTTGAAATAATCCCTATTCCTCATCAAATGAGGTTTAACAGTTATTTCGGAAGAAGGGTGTTCTCCCCGAAATAACCGTGTCTACACCGCATTTTGTATTTTGAAATAGTGCCATAATGCAATTATGCAAATGAAGCACAGGATATTTAAATCCAAGCTTCATTTGCAATTTTGAATGTCTTCATTTGCATCCCTCTCTCGAAAGAGGGTGAAAGTGTAGACATACCCTAAGAGATATATTCAGGCATAAACCTTTGTGGTAAAAACAACTTTGTCAGATGCATGGAGTGGAAATCACAGAGGTTGGGAGATACATACACAGACTAACACGGCTACCCTTATGAAACTTGTAATATTCATATTAATTCATTGTGTACCTCAGTTTCCCTCCATACTTTGCATTGCTACCCATTGGGAAGCAGCAGGAAAAGAAGAAGAAAGGCTATGATTACAATGGCAGATGTAAAGCTTTGGCATTTACAGCACTGTTCACAGAGGCCTGCAGGGAAACCACTGTTGTGTGTCCATGCTGCACTTCTTTTGAGAGTGCAGCATGTTCACATACACAGTTCTTTCAACATCACAGACAACAGCGCATTGTGGTAGCTCTCCCATTGTGCAACTAGCCACAAGGTGCTTTGGGAAGGGATTGCAATACAGCATGGGGTAGTCAGTGTCCCAATCCCATTGCTCCCTGGTCATCCTGCTACACTTACAGATGCTTTTCAATAGGCATTTGGGGGAGGGGAATGGTGTGACACGCAGTGTGGGTCATTTTTGGAGACCAGTCAGAATGAAACAAACAATTCAAGTGTCCACACTAGCCTCCCTGGCACTCTTGCCAGAGCACATCAAGTTCTACACTTCTCGTCGAGGTGGTTTACCTACAGCGCAGCAACTGCGGCGTTAGTGCACACTAAGTGCCTGGCCAGTGTGGACACCTTGGGAATTACAGTACTGGGAGCTGATTTACTGTGCAGTAATTTGCCAGTGTAGACTTGGCCTAAGTCTGTTGTTGGGCCCACACAGGAGACATGAGGGTATGTGTCACCTTGCTGTCTGGGGCTGAACAAAGGAATTGGCAGGGACCTACATAAAGAGACCCATATCTGTGCAAACTCCTAGTGATAATAGGAAGCACCATTGACTAGATCATTTATACCTAGCAACCAATGACCAAGAGGAAGGTCCCCCCATACATACACACACACACACACCTCAGCAGAAGCGCAGCAGAGATCAGTGAGAGAAAAAAGGAGAAAGAGAGGATCAACAATGGGAAAAAGAGTGGGCTTCTGGAAGAGGTTGGATGATTTCACCTGGGACTTACAAGGTCTGAAGAGGTTAAGGAATGTATTACGAGTTGAGAGAGACAGAAGCAATACTGCAGTCCATTATAGTTATTTTAGTGGATGGCTCTGGATTGGCTAGATGAACTATGTCTTCACTTTCATTTCTGTATGCTAACCTAAGGACTTTCAATGTCGTGTTCCATTTGACTAATAAACCTAGCTAGGCTGAAACGAAACACTGCCTGGTGTACTTCAAATACTGGCTAAGATGGATTAGTCACCGAAGAGTATACAAGCCTATGAGGAAGAACCTTTTTCACTTGAATTCTCTGTGCACTGCTCACAGTGAGATGCAGGAGTGCTTAAGCTCAGGGGCTCAGTCTCTGAGACAGGGAGGCAGTGTGACCTGCCCTGAAGGAAAAAGGGTTTCTCAGAGTGGTCTAACAGATTGAAGGGGTGCCAGAGCATTTAAAACCTGGGGTGTAGCATTGATTCTGTGGGTTTGTGACAAAGCCACTAGCTGTTTTAACTGAAAATATAAATAACTGAGGGTATGTCTACACTTGCCCCCTAGTTTGGACTACAGAGGCAAATGAAGCATACTGAAGTTGCTAATGAAGCGCAGGATTTAAATAACCCGTGCTTGATTAGCATATTCGTGATCGGTCACCATTTTAAAATGCCGGTCGCCTGATTTAATTTGTCACGTGTAGATGCGGTAGTCCGATTTAAAACTCTTCCCTCGAATTAACTGTTACTCCTCATGCAATGAGCAAGCAGCAAGTTAAATCGGGCAACCGGAATTTTTAAATGGCTACTGGCCGCAAATATGCTAATCAAGCGTGGGATATTTAAATCCCACGCTTCATTAGCAACTTTGGTATGCTTCATTTGCCTCCCTAGTCTGAACTAGGAGGCAAGTGTAGACATACTCTCAGGAAGTTGTTTCCTTATGATGAAAAACATCACAAAGTTTGTTCAAGCTTTGCATGTTTAGTGAACAGTTAAAATCAGATACAAAGACTTACTCTAGATTCATTGGCCAGATTCTAACTGGCCCTTTCATGACAACAGCAGAAGAAGAATCCCATCTGCCTTCCATGGACTAGAAAGGACAGGTCAAAATCAGTCATTAAGCATTTCCATCCATCCTGCCCTTGTAAACTAGAACATATGGGAAAGGGAGTTATGCATTTCTTTAATCTCTGGCTCAATGGGGGCATTGGCAATCTCAGTAGTGTATCCTGGTAACAGCACTACTATCTCATACCTTTAAAAAATGTGCAACACTTTGTGCTGCCAAAAACAAAAATCTCAGTGTTCTACACTAGAGAAAGCCCTGGGAATCACTATGCCTCTGTAAGAAGAGTACATTTCCCAGGGGGACTCCATCTGTATGTATCTCCCAATGCATGTCTGTGCCCTACAGGCACTATCTAGCCCTTTATAAATCTATACAGTTAATGAACTCATTACCATAATTGTGGATGACACCTGCACACACTTCTCAGAAATGGGGAAGTACACATTCTTTTCAAGTTAAACTTTGGCACAATCAACTTATGAACACAAATTTTCATTTATGGCTTGAAAAAACGTGCATTTTCTTCATACCGACTTGATACTCTTAGCTAGGTAAACCGATGACTACAAACTAAACATTTACCAGCCTTTCTAAATTGGCTTTGCATTTAACAAACTGCAAGAAGCAAGAGATAGATAATTGTT